GGTGGGATAGGGAGGGTGGGAGGGAGACGCAAGAGGGAGAGGATATGGGGATATATGTATATGTATAGCTGATTCACTTTGTTATACAGCAGCAACTAACACAACATTGTAAAGCAGTTATACTCCAATGAAGATGTTAAAAATATATATATAATACTTACACAATTGAACAAATATCAAAAAGAAAAGAAAAGATGTTAAAAAATAAAATATGTTCTCACATTTACACACACACACGACTACACAAAGCCCGAGAGGAATACATACAACAATTACTGTAGTGGTGTTTTTCATTTCCTTCCATTTTTGTTTAAATCTGGTTTTTTGAAAAGAACGTATTGCATATGCATAACGAGAAAGTTTAAAAAGTGCTAAGTGAGGCATTTATGCCGAACCTGTTGAACATTCTGTCTGCGTTGTCGAATCTTCCGTTCTGCAGACACAGCATATACTCTGGTGCTAGAGGGGAAAAAAGTCAGAGTTAAGCAAGATCACAAAACCACTGAAGAGTCCACGTGAAATAACGTGTCCCTGGGAGAGACGGCGAGGAGTCTTACCAATCCTGACCAGATAAAACAGCACGTAGCCCGGGGAGGAGTAGTGGCTGCCGTACATGAACTTGGGCTCCGGCATCTCCTGGTAGCGTGTCTACAACACAGGGAGAAAAAGTCCTGCTGAGCGCTGGCTGTGAAGACAATAACCGACTCCAGTAGTAAAAGCCTAAGGAAATCGTGGCCTGGACACATTCTAGCCCCTAATTTCTCTCCTAAAGAGGAAAAGGAGAAGATAAAAAAGAGGGGGGGGGGCTTCCCTGGTGGCGCAGTGGTCGAGAGTCCGCCTGCCGATGCAGGGGACACGGGTTCGTGCCCCGGTCCGGGAAGATCCCACATGCTGCGGAGCGGCTGGGCCCGTGAGCCATGGCCGCTGAGCCTGCGCGTCCGGATCCTGTGCTCCGCAACGGGAGAGGCCACAACGGTGAGAGGCCCGCGTACCGCAAATAAATAAATAAAAATTAAAAAAAAAAAAAAGGGGGGAAAATCTGAGTAAACACAGCATTCTTGCAACAAGTATCTTGGTGTTCTTGGCCTCATGGTAACAATGTCTGCCGGAGCAGGACTGAAAAGAAGAAATTTTATGCATCACTTGTGCAGTTCACCAGAGAACACCTTCGTGAAAATAAATGGGTAAACCTGTGATCGGCTCAGCTTCCTACCTCCTGAATTGTAAGCAGAAATGCAGATGGTGAGCCGCTAAATTCACAGGGGAAGGAAGGCAGCGGGCAGAGGGAGAGAGAATACGCTCAGAAACTTCCGTCTCTCCAGATATACTTCCCCTAAGTCTTGAAGAAACGAGTTTCAGGTACTATAAAAACACAGGGGAAGGGGGTTCAATCCCTGGTCAGGAAACTAAGATCCCACGTGCTGTGTGGTGTGGCCACAGAGTAAATTTAAAAAAACCAACAAAAACAATCAAACAAAACATATGCCAAGGCTCCCGGGTTGCTTAGACACCAGGAATCCCTGAGTCCACATACCAGCAGCCTCTCCAGACGTTCCTTGTTGAGGGCCCCTACTGGCTTACTGAGATCCCGGAAGGTTCCTGGATTTGACAGATCTATAAAAGAAATCAATTTTTAAAAATTACAACAAATAAAGCAAACAAGCTTACCCTTAATAACATTATCTCCCTGAATGAATTCACATGCACACATTTATTTCCAAATAATAAATAGCTTTTTAAAAATTGAGACAGATCCATTAGAATTAATATCTGATGACTATTAATACAGCTGTAAAGGTTAGAATTTGAAGACCTACTGACAAAAAAAACTATATTCCAAGTAAAACAACAACGAAAAATAAATTTCAAAAGCCATTATTCTACCAAAATTTACTTTTTAAGTTTGAATTATAGTGAATATTATTATTCTGTGATAACAGCATAATTTGAGAACTGGGGACCTGAATATTATCAGATAAATAAATTATATTCCTAGAAAAATCTGTTACCTCTTTCAACTACAAGGGTGCAATCAGTGAACTGTCAAAAGTAATTCAGTGTTCATAATATCTAATTTTAAGACATTACAAAATAAAATTACAGTACAATCACATTTTTGGTAAAATAATTTGAGAGACAGAAAGAAGTATATATACCACAAAGTTAAAATGGTTCTCTCTCGGTACTGTAATTACTGATGAGACTTATTTCCTTCTCTGAGTGTTTCAGTACTTTCTAAGTGTTCTTTAATGAACAGCTATTACGTTTGGTAATCACATGTTTTCATGTGAATTGAAAAATAATATGGTAACCTGAGGCGCAATTTTCAAAGTGAAAACTTAAGTATTTGAAAACATAGTACTTATTGGTAGCAGCGGTAACACTGGCTGAAGATCCCATGCATGTCTTCTGGGTGTGGCTTTCAAGAAGTATGTGAGTACTTTTAGAATTAAAAAAAATTCAGACACAGTAGAGAAAACATATAGAACACACGTAATTCCCATGACACCCATCCAGTATCGTGGCATGGAGATGGGCCATCGTCAGTAATAAAATCAAACGGGTTCTACTCTGTTCACGAATCACAACGTGGTTCTAAGAGGGAATGTGTTCTTTGCTCTAAAAGCCCGGCTCTGTGGCACGCACCCAGCTCGGAGCTGCTGTAGTCGCCGACGACCCAGGGGAACACGGGGTACTGGGAGAGGTCGTTGCAGCTGCGGTCGGCCAGCGTGTTGAGGTGCAGCAGGTACTGGTAGTTGGACAGAAGCCCGCGCTGCCACTGCAGTGTGTAGCCCTCGGCCGTGCGCTCCGCCACGTGGTGCTCTGGGGGGACAGGTGAGGGCAGGCCCGGGTCACACTGAGCTCCACGTGTGCGGGCAGCGGTCACTCAGCATGTGAAGGCGCTACAGAGGCTTTTCAGTGTAGACCCTTCAACCCATTTTTGAAAAGTACATTTTAAAACAAGAAAAGTAGGCTACAGTTTGCTTTTACTGAAGAGTTGTTTGTCAAGTATGAACAAGCATCTCCAAGATCCAGAAGGGAAATTATTAAATGTATGATATAAAACATATCTACTAAATATATGATATAAAACATATCACATCTATGAAATATATGATATAAAACAAATATGAAAGTATGGAGCAAATACATAAATATGACATGGTAATATATGTAACATTTGCAATATTTATATATAGTCTACAATATGTGCTAACAAAGAATCCTTCCAAACGTGCTTGAGTTTTAATGCCTTTAAGAAGCCATGACCATCTGTAAAAGCTCATTTCCTCCATTTCTTATGAAAGTAAAACGAAACAATCTTTTAGTTTTCTTTCAGATCTGGAAGCGGGGTACACGACGGCTAATTTGTCACTGACTACGTATTATTTAAGCAAGTGAGGAATCAGGAAAAGCATAGAAACTGCTGAAGGAGAAAACAAGTATCTGTCAGAATTCTCAAACTAGAAGGACCAGAAAGGGCCCCCAGAAATAACCTCAGGAAAGATGGAACCACAGATGGTGTGGCACCAGTGATAACTTACCCGTAAAATGAGTCAACTGTTCTATTTTGTTTAGAAAATTCTGCTTTCAGCTTTGTACTGGCTGCATCAAACTTATCTAACTCATTTGCTGATTCAATATTTATTCTTATATACTTTGCCAAGTTTCTTCTCTAATCAGCTACCAGGAAAGGGCTTAAAAACTCAAAACACTTATCCTCTGATTTCCCACTCTCAGAACGTCTCAGAGAAAGTCTGAACAATCTCAGGAATGAACTCAGAGAGAACAGACGCTTCACAGAAGCAGACCTTTTAGGCCATGGCAAGTTTTTTGACTTGAGATTTTAGGACTCACCATGAAAGTTGAGTTTTTTGTTGTCATCTTGTTATAGTTAGAAAAATTAAATGCAAAAAAATTAAATCAGGAGGCAGGAGATAACAGTAAACTTATACCAAAGCTATACTTAAGCACTAAGTTAAACTGAACAGCTTAGTGTGAGAAGAAAAAAAAAATGAACTCAAACCTACTGTAAAATATGTTCTTTATCGAAAATAAACTATTCCTCCTTGAGAGAAAACTTCTTTTCTAAGGGAGTAAGTCACTACACATCTCATAAATGATTTCACTGCACACAAGAACAGCAAACTAAGATGGTATTAATAAAATCCCAACACTGATTTTTTAAAATTCCATTCTAGTCATCTGGCAATTTTGAAAACAAGAATAATTTAATTCAACCATACAACTTAATATGTTTATGCTTGAAAAGAAAAATACAGGTGTTCTCTCTGATAAAAGTGGGAAAATTCACATTTCCCATGGAAGATTGAGGAAATATTAGTTGTAAGCAAACTGAGTCCCACGGTTCCATACTGAGCATAGAAGGTTCCTGTGTTCCTTTTGTACCGTTTTCCGGCTTTGAGATTAAGACCACAATTAATGATCACAGACACATGACTGGGTAACTCACTGTCTCACATGAAGACACTGAGTCCTGGTTTTCATAAACTAACATAAGACAGGACTGGACATAAAAATAATTAGGTGGATTCTTATAAAATCCATTCAACTTGGGGGTTGTTAAGATACAAAAAAACATTTAAATATATTTACCAAAAGTTTTTAAAACACAGGATTGAACTATTACCAAATTTCATTTATATTTCCCTTAATTTTCAGTATGCCATTCTGCTAACTATAGTTACTGAGGAGAAGAAGTAAGTAGAACCACAGAGAGGTGATTCCAGATACAGAATTGCTCTCCTCTCACTTCCCATCCCAGTTACTCGGGAGTTGAACCACCTTCACATGAACAGATACAATCAAGAGTGAGCACCAAACCTAGGTATGTAGCAATGTAAAAGTAGAGGTCATCTCGGTCTTGACGTTCATAGAACTTCAGGTAGACGTCGGAACACAGATCATCTTCTGTGCAAAACACTTCCAAGCCCTACAAGTCCAGAAAGAGAAGAATTAAACAAACGGTATCTCAATGTGAGTGACACAAGTACAAAAGCCTTTCAACTAAACACTTGCTTTTTTTTTTTTTTTATTTTTTGCGGTATGCGGGCCTCTCACTGCTGTGGCCTCTCCCGTTGCGGAGCACAGGCTCTGGATGTGCAGGCTCAGCGGCCATGGCTCACGGGCCCAGCCGCTCCGTGGCATGTGGGATCTTCCCAGACCAGCGCACGAACCCATGTCCCCTGCATCGGCAGGCGGACTCTCAACCACTGCGCCACCAGGGAAGCTCCTGCATTTTTTATTTGTAGGTCTTGTATGCATATTCCCCAGCAATAAATTTGATTTATAAGGACAAGACATGTGTCTCAGCTAAACTTTACAAAATCCCCTTTGACCTTGAGGATCTTTATGATGACAGCATCTGTGAGTTTATGATGTTGAAATACAAAATTGACTAATCCATGTCTCCACCTATCTTCTTCAGAGACAAAGGTTTAGCTTTCTTTTACAAATTAAGTCATAATTATGTCAACTTAAACTGATAATCGAATAACTCATTTAATTAGTAGGATGCAATTATTTTAAGAAAACTATGAGCTGCATGAATGTTGTGAAGGTGAAGCCGAGACGGGACAGGAATAGACAGAGAAAGGATGAAAGCGCAGCGCTGTCCTAGGTTCAGATACAGGCTTCCAGCGCTACTAGTGAGGGAACCGAGGGAGTGAACTCCTGGAGTCTCGATTCCTTTGTAAAGTAGGGTATCATCTACCTCACAGGGATGGCGCTGATAAACGAATATTGTACATAGATTGCCCAGTAGGCAGAAGGTACTTAATCAATGCCAATTTCTTCTTTTTCTGACTGCATCTCTATACCCAAAGGAGGAGGAGATTTTTCATAGAATCTGTTTCCCTAATCCTCTGTTGGCACTGGAAATGGAGAATTGCCTTTTAAGTAAAATAGGCAGGAAAACGGTTAAATTTCATAAATACAAAACACCAAGATGAGATGCTTAAATAACCACAATGCTCTTGTAATGCCACCAACTTACTGGTTAGTCTCTGAAGGAGAACAAATAGATTTATATCGATGTCAAGCTAAAACCCCTTGGAGTCACACCTTCCGTGGCGACTGGTTTCTACAATAAGCGTGTGAGACTCACAGAAGTGTGGACGTGGGTTTATTCAGGAAAATGGCGGGGAGGGCCGCCTAGGTGACTGAAATGGTTATTTTATCCATTTCTCCCTCTCAGCAAGCCTGAAGGCTGAATTAATACAAGTTAACCGTGAGGATACTACAGTTCCACTGAGAGCTGCTGTCACAGCTTCCAAACTTTGCTTGGAGACCTCGCTGCTGTAACTGGACCGGTTCTGCATCCATTATCCCCACATCCCCACACAAGCCCAGGAGGACCCTGAGAACTCGGCAGGGAGAAACTCAAGGGCACTTGAGCCCCCCTGCTCTTGGAGCCAAAGCCTTTTTCCCAACAGCCCTCCCCCCACAGAAAGAGTCGCTCCTTGATAGACTTCCAGCGCAGCCAAAAGAAGGGGCTGCGGGCCTCACGGCCCCTCTGCTTGCAACACAAACACCCGCGTCTTTCAGACGAGCCCGAGGTGGGTGCAGGCCAGTAAACCACTGGCCAAACTGAAGACAGTCATCCTCTAGAGGGGATGTTCCTCTCGAACTCACCAGAGGCATGAGACCATGTCTCCTCTTGTAAATGCGGCGGACGTCGTGGAGTGTTATCTGGACCATGGGTTTCTTTAAAAGTAGAAAGACGATCTCCAATGTCAAGATTCTGACACAATTAGAAGCTGCCCTTCAGCTGCCCCACCTTAACTTCCTGACGGGTCACACCTGAACACCTGGAAAGTGAGCTCTGAGAACAGGGCGTGCCTCACTTTACACGCCGGTCTGCCCTTTTCACTAGCTTTGTGAACGTAGACCAGTGCCCCTACCCACCCCCCACCCCCGCCGGTACCCCCCAGGATGATAATGCAGGCATCTAGCTTTCAGGTTTCTGCAGGGTTGCTGAGTGGTAGGAAATATTAAAGGATTAGTGTAGACCTCCTCTCAGGAATTCTCCTATTTTTATAGACCTACGGTTTGCTCAGAACTGACATACAGCTTTTTTTTTTTTTTAGGATCCTGTCTTTTAGCTCCTTAAACTACAGTGTAATAAGGCTCATAAACAGATATAGTATAAAGCAGGGCCTCTAAACTTTATAAGGAGGAAAATTGTCTCGCTTCTCTGGAGCCTTAAAATGCTAGTGAGAGAGGAACAAGGTCGCAAAAGGTACTGAGATTGGCTAAAAGGCGACAGGTCCACCCTCCTCCCTCCAAGTAAGAGGGAGGGAGAGCCTGCAGACGCAGGGTGTGTAGCCGTGGAAGCTGCCTGAAGACTGGCCACGGCCCCCAGCCCAGACCTGGGACCCTGAAGCTGTGGCTTATACTCAGATATTGTTGCTCAAGTATTGACCGAGGCCACAGCAACAGCGTTGGTCCAGCCAATTGATGACGCCACAAAGAATGCCGTCAGCAACGTGTACTGTGTCCACTGGAGGGCCCGGCGAGTGTGCCCTACCACCTGGTGGACAGAATTGTTATAGCATCACCTTTCACTTTGGAAAGTGTTCACGTTTCAGTGACGTGTAATGACCGACCAGCCTGGAGAATTTCTTCCATGGCAGAAAACACTCCTGTTCTTGAAGCTACCTGCCAAACGGTCCAACTGCACTCACAGAGTATTAGCGTTTCTGTTGTTTCAATGAGCCACTCTGAAAAGGGTCCGTATCTAGATAAAGCTGCCAATCTTTACGAGTTTTAGTGCAGAAATCTGAATTCATCTTTACTGTGTGGCCTCGTGAGCCTAAAATCATCGTGCAAGAGAAGATGTTTCCAGCATCACAGCAGCAGAACTGCAGCTGCCCAGTGACAGCAGTGCCACGTGCAGCTCTGCACTGGCTGGAGAGGCCACTGCCTCTGGGACAGATGCAGATCTACTGATTTGGTTTGTAATTAAGGGAGAAGGAGAAATACAACTTAGGCGTGTACATATCAGCAAGTACACAGACAGCATCCGTCTCTAATCAACCTTAGTGTATTTCACTGCTCTCTTGCAGAAGTGCTTCCCAGTAGAAAGGTATAAACCTCTAATGACCCTTTACTAAAATCAGAAGGGGCAGGGTTTCTTTTCCCTCCGAAGTAACAGAAAGTAAGTCACAAGAGCTGAAACACGGGTGAGGGTGCATCAGGATTCCACGGGGAGCCGTTAACTACCAGATGCTGGATGGGGACGGGGGTAACTCTGACCCTCCCCAAAATGTGAGAACACTCTAACTGTCAAGTCAAGTTCACAGGAAAGAGAGCTTGAAGACGCAAACGGGAACGCCAGAGGAGCCCTCCGCTGGCCTACAGACTACTTACCGGGTACCCATTGAGAGGCTGGAAATACAGGTTGGTGTCAGTGATGCACACGTGGCCAGGATTCGTCACCAGAGGTGTCACCATTTCTGCTTTGCATTCCATGTGCAGCTTTTCAGAAACACTTTGGAATCTGAGAATATGTTTTTTCCGGCAAAAGCAAGAAAAATCAGAAATCGATCTACTTTCTAGATTTAACTTTATCTGAGGGAGCTACAAAGTGACTCTGCAGAACAGGTGTCTAAACACCGCATTTGATACAAGGAAACTGGTGATGTAAATCAGTCACCTAAATAAACCTGACTTTCTTTCCGGTGGTATAACGAACACTTGAGTTTTTTAAAAGCAGAAGAGATTACGTATCCAAGAAGAGAAGACAGACAAGTAAAAAATACCAAATAACCCTGTTACTGGTACTCTTCACTCCTCTCCAAATAAGTCGGCCTTGAAACTGTTCTTACATGAACATAATTTTCTATTTTTGTGTCATTAAGACCTACTTTATTGTCATAGAAACTCTTTTGGCATGGGTAGCACTTACTGCACACCCCATTCTATAAGGCTATGAGTTTACGTGCATGTCAGTTCCAACGTAGAGTCTTTTGGGGATCTACTGCAGTAAAACCAGTCAAAGGTGATCACCACTCCCTCCTAAATTATGTTAACTCATCAAAAAAGTCCATTTTCGTTCTGCTTTACTAATTTAAAAAAAAATAGAAGGGAAACAACCAAATCATCAAGAGTTTAGGCAATTACTTAGTTAAATAACTGAGCTAAAAATAAGTCCCCTCTGGGACTTCCCTGGTGGTGCAGTGGTTGGGAAACCACCTGCCAACGCAGGGAACACAGGTTCGATCCCTGGTCCAGGAAGATCCCATATGCCGCAGAGCAACTAAGCCCATGCGCCACAGCTACTGAGCCTGCACTCTAGAGCCCGCAAGCCACAACTACTGAAGCCCACGTGCCTAGAGCTCATGCTCCACAACAAGAGAAGCCACCACAATGAGAAGCCCATGCACCACAACAAAGAGTAGCCCCCACTTGCAGCAACTAGAGAAAGCCCGCGCACAGCAAGGAAGACCCAACGCAGTCAAAAAAAAAAAAAACAAACAAAAAACAAAAAGTCTCCTCTGTAAGTAGTAGAACAAAAGCAGGGCTTCCCTAGTGGCGCAGTGGTTAAGAATCCACCTGCCAATGCAGGGGACACGGGTTCGAGCCCTGGTCCGGGAAGATCCCACATGCCGTGGAGCAACTAAGCCTATGCATCACAACTACTGAACCTGCGCCCTAGAGCCCGCGAGCCACAACTACTGAGCCCGTGAGCCACAACTACTGAAGCCCATGCGCCTAGAGCCCATGCTCCGCAACAGGAGAAGCCACTGCAGTGAGAAGCCCACCACCAAAACAAAGAGTAGCCCCCGCTTGCCGCAACTAGAGAAAGCCCGTGTGCAGCAGCAAAGATCCAACGCAGCCAAAAATAAATAAATAAAATAAATAAATGTATTAAAAAAAACAAGCACAAAATCACACAGGAGCAGGCTTCCTCTTCCAGTTTGGACGTGAAGGAGACCTCACAGCTCTCATCCCAACCACAAAACCTGCCAGATGAGCTACACAATCCTTGCTATGTTTAGAAACCCATCAGAAAGCTCAGGTGCAGAGAAACCTAAATGAAGGGACCAGCAGTTGAGTGGCAGCAGGAGGGGCAATCTTCCACAGGGGGTGAGGGCTGCAGGATGAGGGAGACACCAGACAGCAGGAGTCAGGCCTGGAGGGCACAGATGCTCCGTGGGCGGAGAGCTGGAGGCTCAGCTGGGAAGCACAAGGATGTCTGCAAATCCTTCAAGGGCACCGACCCCAAGCCCCGCTGAGGACAGCTCTGCGCACTCCCGCTGTGCAACTGGGCATGGGGACCTGGATTTAACCCAGCTCCACTCATTACACTGACGGAGCCCCCAGGGCAAGCAGCGGGCAGGATGGGGGTGGGCATGACCACCTCCAGAGGCAAATATTCCTCAGGTCAGTCTCTAAAGTTCCTTTAAAACAAACTTCCCAGCACACAAAAAATTTACAAGAAACACAAAGAAGTGAGTAAATATGACCCGCACTCATGAAAGAGAAGATTCCACGGAAGAGGACCCGGACGTCGGATCCATCAGAGGGAGTCGTTAAGATAACTGTAGTAAATGTGCTAAAAGATCCAGAAGAAAAGATGGAAAACAGATGTGAAGGGAAGGAAAACTTCATCTGAGAAGTAGAAACTACGAAAAAGAACTGAAAGGAAATGCTAGAAATGAAAATCTGGGCGAGAGGAAATGAAGAATGACTTAAACAAGCCTAACAGACTGGCACGGCAGAGGAAAAGCCCAATGTGGCTGAAAACAAGGCCAATAAAAAAGTCCTAACTGAAACAGGACAAAAGGAGAATAATAATAATAATAATTAAAAAAAAAACACAGAACAGAGTGTCTGAGATCTAAGCCAAACTATAAAACATACTAACACGAGTGTAACTCAAGTCACAGGAGAAGAGACAGGAGACGGGGCAGAAGAAACACTGAGTGGAGTGTGGTGAAAACTGTCTAATGTAAGACACCAGTTCACAGGCTCTGTTACCCAGAAACCCCCAGCAGGACAGGCGCAGAGAGACTACACCTTAATTCACAGTAACAACAGGACAAATGATGTGACTTTTCACAGGAAACAATGGACAGCAACATACAACGGAACGAAAACCCTTCAAGTAGTGAAAGAAAACCCTGTGAACCTAGTATTTTATCTCCAACAAAAACACCCTTCAAAAATGAGAGTAAGATAGAGGTATTTTCAGACAAAGCTGGGAGAATCCATCCTGACCAGATATGCACCGTAAGAAATGCTATAGGAAGTTCTTTGGGCTTAAGAGAAATGACACCAGATGCAACACCGGTTCTGCAGGAAGGAAAGACAAGCATCAGGAAACATAAGTATTCAAATCTCCAAGTAAACAGAAAAGAATTATTTCTCAGTATTTTAATTTATGTACCTATAAATGCATGTATCTCAATTCTTGGGATTGGGAGTCTTGGATTGACATGTACACACTGCTATATTTAAAACAGATAACCAACAAGAACCTACTGTAAAAAAAAAAAAAAAAAAAAAAAAAAAAAAAAACCTAAAGAACACCGTATCATGGGTTTTATGGAAATTTAATATAAAACCACAGATCACAAAGGGCAGGAGGGGTTATGTGGAAACACACCGCTGTAAGGCTCTTGAACGACTGTAAAGGAGTGTAATATACTCTTACCTGAAGGTACGCTATGTACAAGGTGCATATTGTGAGCTCCAGAGTGACCACTAAGAATGACACCAAGCACTACAGCTAAGAAGTAGAATACTTAAAAACACCAGATCTACCCAAAAGAAGGCAAGAAAGGAGCATCAGAGAAACAAAGAACAAATGAAATGCTAGGAAACAAATACTAAGAGAGTGGGTTTAAAAGCCAACTATATCCATAATTACATAATTATAAATGAATTAAACAATCCAATTAACAAGCAGAGGCTTTCGGACTGTATAAAAAGACTCAACTATATAAAGTGTTTTTTAGAAACGGAATAAGACACAGACAAGTTAAAAGTAAAAAGGATAGAAAAAGATACAGCATGCAATCACAACATGTAAGAAAACTGGTGTCTTATAAATGTATGTAAACCTAATAACAGAGCCTGCCAGTACACGAGGCATAAACTGACAGAAACAGAGGGGAAAATAAACAATTCCACAATCATCACTGGTAATTTTAACACCCTCCTCTCAGTAAGTGACAGAGCAAGTCAACAAACAGTCAAGTATAGATGATCCGAACAACCATCAGCCAACTGGCCCTAAATGACGTGTACAGAGCACCATACTCCACAACTTCAGAGCACTCGTTCCTTTCACGGGCCTGGGAAACCTGTGTCAGGACAGACTACGCAGAGCCATACAACCCATCTCAACAAACATCAAAAGACTGAACCAGGGCTTCCCTGGTGGCACAGTGGTTAAGAATCCGCCTGCCAATGCAGGGGACATGGGTTCGAGCCCTGGTCCGGGAGGATCCCACATGCCGCGGAGCAACTCAGCCCGTGCGTCACAACTACTGAGCCTGCGCTCTAGAGCCCATGAGCCACAACTACTGAAGCCCGTGTGCCTAGAGCCTGGGCTCCGCAACAAGAGAAGCCACCGCAATGAGAAGCCCGCGTGCCACAACGAAGAGTAGTCCCTGCCCGCCGCAACTAGAGAAAGCCCGCGCGCAGCAACGAGGACCCAACACAGCCAAAAATAAATAAATAAAATAAATAAACTTATTAAAAAAAAAAGACTGAACCATATACTCTCTGAACCAAGAGAGTATTAGATTAGAAATCAATAACAATACAACAGTAACAAGATCCCCAAATACAGAGAAGATAAACAACATACTTCCAAATAACCCAAAGAAAAAACCCAATGGGTCAAAGAAGAAATGACAAAGGAAATTATGAAATATTTCATATGAATGATAATAAAAACATATTAAAATCTGAGGGATGCAGCTGAGCAGTGCTTAGAGGTAAATTTATGTTCTAGTCCTACTTATAAAAGAAGGTCTAAAATCAGTGATCTAAACTTTGTAGGAAGCTGGAAAGAGAACAAGTTAAACCCAAAGTAAGCTGAAGGAAGGAAATCAATTTTATATAAAATGATTTTTATATAAAAATAGAGAAAAATCAATAAAGTCAAAAGTTGGATCTTTAAAAAGGTTAATAAAATTGGCAAACCTCTGGCAATACTGGTAAAGAAAAAACATAAAGCATCAACATAAGGAATGAAAGAGGGACCATAACTGCAGATCCTACTGACATTCAGAGGACATTAACAACTTGATGCCCGCATCTGACAACTTGGATGAACTGGACAAAGGTTTTGAAAAATGCAGCTTGACAAAATAGACACAAGAAGAAACAGACAACCTAACTATGTGTCAAGCAAATAGACTGACTAAGTAAGAACACTTCAGGCCTACATGGCTTCACCAGTAAATGTGGTTAAAAATTTAAGCAAGAAATACAATCCTATACAAACTCTTTTGGGAAACAGAAGATAAAGGGAGATCTCTAACCTCATGTTATGTGGCTAGCATAACCCTGACGGGAAAACCTCACAAATACACTAAGATTTACAGAGCAACATCCATAAACAGAGATGCAAAAATCCTTTACAAAATACTAGCAAAGCAAATCCAGCAATACGTAAAAAGAACAATATATCGTAAGCAAGTTGGATTTATCCCATGAATACAAGGTTGTTCTAACACTGAAAAAACAACATAATTCACAATATTAACAGAATTAAAGAAAAAAAGATCATCTCAATAAATGCACAAAAAGTACTTAACAAAATTCTAAACTTATTTTTGAAAATACTCTCAGCAAACGAGGAATAAAAAGAAACTTCGTCACTCTGATAAAGGGCATCTATGAAAAACCTACAGCTGGAATCATTCTTTTGTTTTTTGTTTTTTTTTTGCAGTACGCGGGCCTCTCACTGTTGTGGCCTCTCCCGTTGCGGAGCACAGGCTCCGGACGCGCAGGCTCAGCGGCCATGGCTCACGGGCCCAGCCGCTCCGCGGCATGTGGGATCTTCCCAGACCGGGGCACGAACCCATGTCCCCTGCATCGGCAGGCGGACTCCCAACCACTGCGCCACCAGGGAAGCCCTGACATCATTCTTTAATGGTGAAACATTAAACCCTTTTCCTGTAAGATCAGGAACAAGGCAAGAATATGTCTGCTCCCACTGCGTCTATTAATCAAACTGTGCAGTGAGGCAAAAAGTAGAAATAAAAGCCACAAGTATTTCTGTGAAACTGTCATTATTCACAGATTAAATAATTATGGATATAGAAAACTCTATGGAATCTACAAAAAAACCTGCTAGGACTAATGAGTAAATTCTGAATTTGGAAAAGTCACAGGATACAAGGTCACTGTTTCTAAAAAACAAAAAACCAAAAATCAACAACAAAAAACTACTTCTATATACCAGTAACAAATAATTGGAAAATAAAATTTCAATAGCATCAAAAAAATCTAGGATTACAGCCAACAAATCTAGGATTACAGCATCCACACCCACTGAACATATAATAATGGGGGAACTGGATGAGGGGAAAAGAACTCTTTGCACTGTCTTTACATCTTTTCTTTAAATCTAAAATTAGTCCAAAGTATTTTAAAGAGGACATTTTGGGGTACAAATGGGGAAACCTGAATATGGAGCTATAAGTTACCCGGCATACAGAATATTGCTACTTGAGTGTTATAACAGTATGGAGGAATGTCACAGAACTTTCTTGTGAGAGATACATGTTGAAGTAGTTATGGGTGAAGTGTCAGGAAGTCTTGCAGTGTCATTTCAAATGGTTCAGGGAAAAGTTGTATGCATATATTTTATATGTATCACACAAACATACATACATATGCACATCAGCTATACATGTATACATACATACAACATATATACAGACATATATGCATTATTTATACATGTGTACACACACACACACACACACACACACACACAGCAAGCAAGAGCATGTGCCTGAGCATGTAAGAACCAAAGCAAATTCAGCAAAATGTTGACAAATTAACGCTTGGTGACCCATAGAGTACCTGTGTTCACTATATTACCTTTCAACTTGTGAGGACTTGAACTTTTTCAGAATGAATAGGGAAAAATAAATATAGTTTCAATAAAAAAGCATTTCCTTGGAAGTATGATGAAAATTTATCTCAGCAAAAATTTACCTTCTTTCTTTTGGAGGAAGTATACAATCCTGAAATATCTCACTTCACGCTGCAAAAAAGTCTTCCCCAAATTCTTCAGCCTAACACTTTGGAGACTGGATAAATCAAAAGTTTCATAGTGAACCATTTTAAAAATTAATGTCATGCTGAAGCCCAGGATTAAAGTCTAAATTGCTACTTAGAAAAATTACGCATTCTAAGTAGGTCAAAAGAAACTAATTCTTATTACTCCTTTTCCTTCCTAAAATGGAAGCTATTCTTTCCTCCCAACAATCCATTTAACTAATATATCCTACAAGTACAAAAATGAAAATTAATGCTATATAAGTGAAACAGAAAAAGAAGTAAACAAACATAAACACAGAAAACACGTTATTGGCCAGATGGCTTTTCTGGCAAATTCTTTAACATTTGAAAATGTAGTGTAAGGGTCACAAATCTCACAAAGGTAGCAATAAAACAGAATATTACAAACGAATCTCATTTATACACATAAGCTTCTAGCAAAAGCCTAGCACATAATAATCCATAAATGAATCTATTCAACCAATACTTTCTACTTTGTCCTAGGCCTGAGGATTCCGAATACAAAAATCTAAAAATAAATATCTAAAATAAAAATGATATCTAGTGACTAGAGACTGAAACAATCGCTACATAAGATTTTGTACACATTAGAGAACCTATATATAAAGTTAATGGAATGGATCACAATGTTTAGCAGGGCTGCTGAAAACAAAACGAATACACAAAAATCTACTGCATTCTAAGTATCAACAATAAAATGAAATACTTTAGGATATCATTTACAACACCATCAAAAATACGAAGTACCTGGAATAAATCCAGCACAAGAGAAGAAAGAACTTTATAAAGAAAAATTATAAAGAAGACTTAAATAAATGGAAAGTTTCACTGCAATCACAGTCAAAATCCCAGAAGGTTTTTCCTTTATGAAACTTGACAAGCTGATTCTAAATTTATACAGAAGTGTGTAAGACCAAGAACAGTGAAGACATAAGTTAAGAAGGGAAAGAGGGTGCAGGACCCTGCACTGCCTGATATTAAGAGCTGTCCTAAAGCTACAGTAATTCACAGTGATACCGCAGATGGAGATAGAGACAAATGGCCCAAATCTACTTAATACAAGGAAATCTACTTAAAATAAGGCAAGAAACAAATAAGAGAACAGGTTAATATAAAAGTATACTTACTTGCAGAAAATATATTGGATACTTAGAAAAGCCAAAAAAACCCCAAAAACAAACAAACAGAAAACCCAACACACCCCAAAACCAAAAACCGAAACAAAACTCCATTAGATCAGTAAGAATGTGGTCTCTAGGTCCCTGCAGGACACCTTAGGAAGGTACCTAACAGCTTGACGGGACGGGAAAGACTTTCCAGAACAATCCCCAGCTCAGCTGAAATGAGAAGAGTAAGGAAGAGTTGGGCGGGTGCAGAAGAGGCAGGAGGCTGAGCATTCTGAGCAGAGGCTCAGAGGCAGGAGGCCATAAGGCACCTCAGGCATCGCACAGAACGCACAGATCCAGAGCAGAGCATGCAAGAGGAACCGGCGGCCGGAACAGTGACAAAGGCTAAACCAGAGCCCCGCGTGCAGGTGAGGTTAAGACTCTACCCTGAAGGCAATGGAAGTCTGGAAGAGTTTCAAACAGACAAGTGATATAATGAAATAAGTTCCTTAGAAAGAATGTATTTTAAAAGTACATTTGACACAGTGAGGGAAACGGGATTGGAGCAGGGAAGGCTGGAGCTGGGGACAAGCTAAACGCTGTCACTGTGATCTTAGTGGCAGGGGCTGGTGGCCTGAACGGAGGCGCTAACATGTGAAAAGACAGGAGCTCGTAGACTGGGAAGATCGTGGAGAGCACCTGGCACCAGGCCTTTCTGATGGACAGATGTCAGCTGGGAGAAGTGGCAAGGAGGCCCCAGACTCTGCTCTGGCACTGACGCCAGGGCCATTCCCCCAGACGAGCAGGTTTGGGGTGAGGCAGGTGGTAACACCCACTATTGGTTCTGGACACACTGAGGCACCAGGTGACGATGCCACTGCTTTCGTAATCAGGAAACAAAATCATCGAAAACTCACCTGTTTTTGTCAAATGACGTCCTAGCCAAACGGGACTGCAAAATGGCTGTTATCTTTAAAACAGAATCATTTAAAAAGTATGGATATAAGGATTTATAAGTGACATATCAATACACGTTCATTCACAATAAAGATACAGATCTTTAGAAACTCTTACCATAGCAGTTTGGTCCCCAAGTTTGTCCAGACAGGATGCTCTGTGAAGCTACGGTTATATAAATACACAAGAATTTATTTTTTCTCTCAGATGCTTTGAAGATATTTCCTTAGAAACAATGAAACACAACCACCATTCTGTTACTTAGTAACAGGTAAGAATGACTCTGATATATCTATGGCTTCTTCCTAATGTGTAGTTTTCAAGTTCAACATATTCAAGTAAATCTGTTTCAGATTTATAAAAAAGGTTATGGTTTTGGTAAGACAAATGAGTATGAAATTCTTTAAAAAAAAAAAAAATGTTTATGCCTCAGTTTGCCAGTGAACGTCTGAGAAAAGCCCTGGCTTACCTGAAGCAATGTCTCCACGACACCTTCCACCTTCCCTGAAACATCCAACTCGAAGACATATTCCATTGTGCCCTAAAAAAGAGGAAGACCAACCACGTCAGGCCCCATCACTTTAAGACATTTGCAGCCCCCTGCTGGCCCGTGCAGGGACCTGCCTGGCGTGCCCTCCCTCCGCCCACACGGAATGAGCGCCCCAGGGGAGCAGAGTCTGTTGGATTTACGGCTGTATTTACTATCTCCTTCCTTCTGCTAATTTTGGGCTTAGTTTGCTCTTCTTTTTCTGGTTCCTTGAGGTGTACAGTTAGGTTTTTAAATTTGAGATCTTCAAGGTAAGCGTTTAACGTTAAACTCCCCTCTTAGGACTGCTTTTGCGGCATCTTTGCAGTTTGGGTATATATGCTCTGTTTCCGTTTTGATCATCTTGAGGTTTTCTGGTTTTTGTTCTTTTACTTCTTTATTGGAGTACAATTGCTTTACAATGTTGTGTTAGTTTCTACTGTACAGCGAAGTGAATCAGCTGTACGTACACCTATATCCCCTCCCTCGAGTCTAATTTCTATTTCTTTGACCCATTGGCTGTTCAAGAGTGTTGTTTAATTTCCACATACGTGTGAATTTTCCCGCTGCTATGGATTTCTGGCTTCACTCCACGGTGGTTGTAACCTTCTTAGATTTGTTGACTTGTTTTGTGACCTGACACGCGACCTGTCCTGGAGAACGTCCCGTGTGCACGTGAGAAGAGCGTGTGTCCTGCTACCGTTGGGCAGGACGTTCTGGGTGTGTCTGTGAGGTCCATCTGGTCAGAGTGCTGGTCGAGTCCTCCGTTTCCTGAGTGACCTTCTGTCTGGATGATCTACCCATGACTGAAGGTGGGGCACGGACGGAAGTCTCCTCTGTCCAGTGCTGCTGTCGGCCTCTCCTTTCAGTCCTGTCCGTGCTGGCTTCATACACTCAGGTGCTCTGAGGCTGGGTGTGCAAGTGTTGTGGCGGTTAATTTTATGTGTCACAAGCTGCACTCTTCTCTTTCCCGAGGGTGAGTCTGCTGGGCTGTATCTGCCTGTGTCTCTGGTGCAGGGTCCCCTGGAGCAGCTCTTTCCTGTTTTCAGGGGTCCCCAGGCATCTAGAGCATTATGGGTCCTGTCAGAGGTCCAGGACAGGTGAGACAGAAGCCAGTCCCTCAGGCAGCTGCCCCCAAAAGCCAGAACATTGGACCTATGGTCCCGTCTTGTCTTTCCCTTCCCAGGGAGAAGATGGGAGCTGGGAGTTCCCTCCAATCACGTGGCACAGTGCCAGGGGAGGGACTACAGTGAAAGGATGCTACAATGTTCCCACAGCTTCAGGGTGGCTCATTTCATGCTCACCTGGGGCGCAGGGCACTCTTAACTGGTTTCTGGATTTCTCACAAAGGGAACTGAGTCAGTCTCTCCATAGAGGAGCAAGGGTCTGGGCTTCCTAGTCTATCAAGTCTCATCACCATGGTCAAAGTCACAACCCCGCCCCTTTAAACCTGAGAATCCTTTGGTGTCCTAATTCACAAGAGCTTTTCTTTGCTTCAGAAAACCTTATTCATTTCGTTTTATGTAACTTTTCAGCAGCTTTGCACTTCAAGTGGGTGACAGGAGAGCCTTTGCAGGGAGAGTACACCAGGCAGCGGTTCTCAACTTGGGGGGGCAGGGGGGCGTTCCACCACCCCTGCGGGGCACTTGTCAATGTGTGGTGCCACACAACAAAGGGGGACAGTGCAGGGGGGCACTCCGTGGGTGGGAACAGCCTGTAATATAAGAGGCAGCCCCTCACAATGAAGAACCGTCCTTCCCAAAGTGCCAGTAGCACCACCTGTGAGTGACGAGGTTGCAGTATTCACCGTTTCTGAGTGACTGGCGCATGCACATGTTTCTTGTACATAAAACTCAGAGGGGGCTGCACGTGGCTGGTGCGTCCCCCCCCCCCAAGCTGCTGCTGAGAACCCGCAGGCTGGCCTGTGACCGGAACTGCCATCCGGCCTGTCGGACGTCTGCTCGGAGAGGGTGGCTTTTCCCAATTCAGAGGCGTCATTTATAGGAGCAGTAGTCCCATCTCTAGGTCTCGTAAAAACTCTTCTGCAAGGAGTCACCCCTTTACTGCATACTAAGCTACAGCATAAAGCATTAGTTAGAGCACAGAACGGCTGGATGTAACGTCTAGTTACAAGTCTTGTGTTCACGGCCCCTCAGAGCTTCTACCCAACCAGCAGCATTTATAAATTAGTACTGAGCTCTTAAATAAGGGTATTTTATAGCCTATAAGTACTTCTCAAACATTTAAAAGAAGTTCTCACTGATATTCGGTAAATAATCTTTTAAGCGATGCATATTCTGATTTCAACTTTTAACCTAATAATTTAAGCTTTTTTTCCCCCAATAGACACGCCTATTTTGAAGTTAAAAAGTTAATTGAAATCTCTCGGACTAAAGTCTGTCATTCCCTTGGGTGATTTTGTTATAACTGCTAGGGAACAAGCTTTCAAATACCCATTACATTGCATCAAAGAAGTTAACAGAGACACAGAATCTTACTGCTCAAAATCACTATGTAAATCACTGGGGATAAATGAAAAGCTTTACTTACCCTTTCTATTTTATATGGTGCAACAATGTTGTGTTCTTTAATGAAATACACCTGAGAAAAACAAATCAATACTTGTAAAATATTAAACATTATCACAGTAATGAGTTACTGTTAATTACGATGTTACGAATCGAATTTAAATCACTGTTACATAATCTGTTTCCAAAAGCACTTGCATTAATATGAGTATAGCTTTAAAGTTCTGATGTTAAAATAACAAACATTAAATTAAAAAGAGATTCATCAAGGCAACAAGGTAGCAACCACTGCTGGATAAATACAATGTCTAAGATGTCTTATGAATGTCATCACTTGTACCCAGGAACCAGACAAGTGAAGGAAGCTAATCTAAGGCTGATTTTCTAAGAAATGAGTAAAACAAAGTCACTGTGGTATGAAATGCATTCATCAACATAAAGAAAACTCTCTTCTCTAGACAGACACACACGCACACACGCACGCGTGCACACACACACACACTCCTCTTTATTCTATCAGCAAAAGAATATTTGGAAGCAAAACTCTAAAAGCCTGAAGAACCATAACATATTTCTGAAACACTGTGACCTGGTAAGTAAACAAAAAACACAAAAGTTGTGTTTATTTGGTTGTGTGCTTAACCCAGGAAGCTTAATACTTGAAAGAGTAGCTTATATCTAGTCACACCTTGATGTAAAGCTGATTTTGAGTTTATTTGACATGAGACCTCTTATACAAACTATTGAAAGGAGGTGGGAGGATTTGGGGGCTTTATTCTTAAGTTTATTAAAATTATACAAAAATGTGTGTATTATATATATTTTTTGTTTTGTTTTGTTTTTTTGTGGTACGCAGGCCTCTCCCGTTGCGCAGCACAGGCTCCGGATGCGCAGGCTCAGAGGCCATGGTTCACGGGCCCAGCCGCTCTGCGACATGTGGGATCTTCCCGGACCGGGGCACGAACCCGTGTCCCCTGCAACGGCAGGCGGATTCTCAACCACTGCGCCACCAGGGAAACCCATAAAATGTATATTTTTATAATGGAAACCATACTTTCAACTGAAAAAGTACCTACTCCTTCCAAGATAAGGACTTTCTAGAATAAAGCGACAGTGTAGAACGATACTCTAGAAATAATGAGAATACAGGTGTGGACGAGAATCATCAGTAGTGGTGCTCCTTCCCCAAACAGATGTGGCCATAACTGCTTTCATATCCGCCAGTCAAAGCAGCATGAAGTCAAAGAGAGCCTCTGAAATGCTTTCTTCCCTAAAATTATTAGAATCATGGAAGGCAGACTTAGAAAATCACCTAATCTGATATCTCCCAGGCTTCATAAAATAATTTTCAATATGCATTAAAAAGAGGCACGAACAAGAGGGCTAAATGATCCAAAAACCACCGGAGGCTCTCTGCTCCCGACCATTCACCCCTTGAGAATCTCAACGCTTCGCGCCCAGTCCTAGCGTAAAGAAATCTCTGCATCTTTGTTTCCCACAGCTCTTCCCATGCTTGCTCGATCACAGAATGATACTTTTCTTTGAACACTTCAAGGAGCTGGAGATCCGCAGAGAGCAGAACCAACGCTGACCTCTACCCTTTCATTTTCAAGGTGAAGAAGGTGAGATTCACAGCAAAAAGGCAGTGGTAATGAGCTCTACTCCTGTCTCATCTATAATTTTTTAAAGATCTACAGGTGAATTGAGTACAGCTAACCCTTGAACAACATGGGTTTGAACCGCATGGGTCCACTTACATGTGGATTGTTTTCAGTAAATACATTGGAAAAGTATGTGGAGATTTGGGACAATTTGAAAGAAGATGAACTGTGTAGCCTAGAAATATCAGAAAAATTAAGAAATTGTTATGTCATGAGTACATAAAATATATGTAGATACTAGTCTATCATATCATTTACAACCATAAAACATACACAAATCTATTATAAAAAGTTAAAACTTATCAAAACTTACGCACACGCTAACAGACCGTACATGGATGGCACCAATCTTAGTCGAGAGAAATGTAAATAACTATAAAGATGCGGTATGAAATCACAGCTGCATACGTTCACCGTAGTTCACACTGTACCACGGTCATAACTTCATAGCCGCCTCCTGTGATACTGCGCTGAGGTCGAGTGCTGAGAGTAGCCTCAGAAGGCTGCGGGGCGCTATCCATCTTCACGTAAGCAGCAGTGAACTGGGCATCACAGTAAAAAGTGGTCCCTCCCGGTTCTTGTGCATTTTTCATCGTGTTTAGTATAAGATCACAAACCTGGAATAACACCACGGGACCCACACGAAGTGCCACTAGTGATGCTGGCCGTGCTCCCGAGAAGCAAAGTCATGACATTACGAGAAAAAGCTGAATTACTTGATATGTGTACCATTGATTGAGGTGAGGTCAGCTGCTGCGGTTGCCACCATTTCAAGATAAATGAATCCAATGTAAACACCATTGTAAAAAGGAAAAGGAAATTCATGAAGCCATCAGGCAGCTACCCAGCAGGCGGGAGAACCTGGCACTTTTTGTGAACTACCTTTTTATCACGTACTGAAAATGCAGCTTTTACGTGGGTGCAGGGTTGCTGCGTGATGACTAATATGAAGTCATCATATGACAACTTAAAGCAAAAGGAACGTGAAGGATCTAAAGCTGGAAAATTTAATGTCAGCAAAGGATGGTTTGATAATTTTGGAAAGAGATTTCGCTTTGAAAATGTCAAGATAACAGGAGAAGCAACTTCTGCCAACCAGGAGGCAGCAGACGAGCTCCCAGACACCATTAAGAAAATCACTGAGGAGAAAGGATATCTGCCTGATCAGGTTTGAAAGCAGATGAAAGTACCCTCTTCTGAGGAAAAAAAAAAAAAATCCACAAAGGACGTTCATTGATAAGGAAGAGACACGAGGACCTGGATTTAAGGCAGGAAGGGATAGGCAATTCTGCTGTTTTGTGCAAATGCAATGGGGTCGATGACCAGGACTGCCCTGATCTATAAAGCTGCTGACCCCCCCAGCCTTGAAGGGAAGAGGGAACCCCAGCTGCCAGTCTTTTGGTTGGACAACAAGAAGGTCTGGACAACAAGAACGCTTTTTCTGGATTGGTTCCATCGATGCTTTGTCCCTGAAGTCAGGAAGTATTCTGCCAGTATGGGACTGCCCTTTAATGTTCTTTTAATTGGACAATACCCCTGGCCACCTAGAACCCCATGAGTTCAACACCAAAGGTGTCAAAGTGGTCTACTTGCCCCCAAACCCAGCATCTCTAATTCAGCCTCTAGATCAGGGGTCATAAGAACCTTTAAGGCTTATTACATATGGTACTCTGTGCAAAGGACTGTCAATGCTGTGGAAGAGAAATCATGAGAGTCTGGAAGGATTACACCATTGAAGATGCCATGGTTGTTACAGAAAAAGTCATGAAAGCCATCAAGCCAAAAACAGTACATTCCTGGAGAAAACTGTGTCCAGACGCTGTGCATGACTTCACAGGATTTACAACAGAGGAAAAGGAAATCATGAATCAGAGTACAGATATGGCAAAAAGAGGTAGAGAGTTGAAACGTTTCAAGATATGGATCTTGGAGAAATTCAAGAACTAATGGACACCACACCCGAGGAATTAACAGAAGACAACCAGAGGGAGATGAGAGCTTCCAAACCAGCGCCAGATGACGAGGAAGAAGATGTAGAAGCAGCAGTGCCAGGAAACAAACTGACATGAGACCACCTAGCAGCAGGCTCTGATTTCTGAGGCTGCTTTTTGGCTTCTTTTATGACACGGACCCTTCTATGACACAGGCACTGGAACTAAAGCAAACGGTGGAAGGAGGATTGGTACCGTATGGCAACATTTTTAGAGAAATAAAAAAGCAGAAAAGTCAGCCAGAAATCATGATGTATTTCCGTAAAGTTAAACTGAATGTGTCTGCCTCTCCTGCCCACCCCGTCCCCACTCCATCTCTGCCCCTGCGACAGTAAGACCCCCCCCCCACCCCCCCGCCGCTCAACGTGAAGACAGACGACAGGAACGAAGACCTCTGGGACACTCCACTTCCACCTAATGACTAGTGAACAATCATCCTGCCGTACAGTTAATAAACTCACCTGCTGTGTGTGTGTGTGTGTCTTCATGTGAACATCTAATAACCACGTGGAGGAAGTGTATGATACATTTCTGTGTTCATCACTGTCATCACCTGAGCATTCATAGTGCAGAACATCGTGTGCGAGACGTGCACTGAAGTGGACAGCCTATCCTTGCATAGGCATAGGGGAGTGATTTTAATATAAGATTAATCATGTATTAGTTTTCAGGTTTCATAACTTTGCTTTCAAAGAATTACATTACTGTTCAGATGTCTTTCTCTATCATCACGGGTTTAAAAAAAAAAATGTTATCATGTTTGGGGCTTCCCCGGTGGTGCAGTGGTTAAGAATCCGTCTGCCAATGCAGGGGACACAGGTTTGAGCCCTGGTCTGGGAAGAGCCCACATGCCGCGGAGCAACTGAGCCCGTGCACCGCAGCTACTGAGCCTGCGCTCTAGAGCCCGCAAGCCACAACTACTGAAGCCCGCGTGCCACAACTACTGAAGCTCGCGTGCCTAGAGCCCGTGCTCCGCAACAAGAGAAGCCACCGCAATGAGAAGCCCGCGCACCGCAACGAATAGCAGCCCCCGCTCGCCGCAACGAAGACCCAACACAGCCAAAAATAAATAAATAAATATTTTTTAAATTTTGAAAATTAAAATGTAACCACGTTTCCCATACTGAATTATGAATCTGATACAACACTGTGTGCCATAACACTTTTATAACGATTCACTCAACAGTGTACAGGCTGGGCTACTGGGAAGCAATACTGATGACAAGGCTACGATAAAGCAGTCATCCTGCTGCTGCTTCACTATCAGTGCGTGAATCATACTTGTAAATAACACGTTTCTTTTTCACATTATCTTTTCTTTTTTTTTTTTTTGCGGTATGCAGGCCTCTCACTGTTGTGGCCTCTCCCATTGCGGAGCACAGGCTCCGGACGCGCAGGCTCAGTGGCCATGGCTCACGGGCCCAGCTGCTCCGCGGCATGTGGGATTCTTCCGGACCGGGGCACGAACCCGTGTCCCCTGCATCGGCAGGCTCTCAACCACTGCGCCACCAGAGAAGCCCCTATCTTTTCATTTTTGATGTCTAATGTTAGTAACACATCTAACATCTACAGTGTTTTGTATCACATTAAGACAATATTGATGTAGGTACTGACAGACATGATTCATCTTATAAACAGATGACAAACTTACAGTACGGATAAGTATAGTACATACTGCAAATGCATTTTCTCTTATGATTTTCTTAATAACATTTTCTTTTCTCTAACTTATTGTAAGAATACAGTATATAATACATATAACATACAAAATATGTGTTATCAACTGTCTATGTCATCAGTAAGGCAACAGTAGGCTATTCGTAGTTAAGTCTGAGGGGAGTCGAAAGTTATAAATTTTCACCTGTTTGTGTGTGTGGGCGTGGGGGTCAGTGCCCTAAACTCCCACTTTGTTCAAGGGTCAGTTGTGTATGACAGGAGAAAAAACGTGTAATTTATCTCCGTATTGCCAGTGTTCACATAGTACTGGATGTAAATGTGAAATGAAGAAAAGGTGACCCCAAGCATTATACTATAATTAGACAAGGCTACATACACATCCTGAGCCGTGGCCTCCGTTTCACCCTGAGTCCATCTGAGCTCACTGAAGTGGGAGGCGCTGGCCTCCCACCTTCCAACTGCAGTCCTTTATCTCAACCCTCACACACTGTCAGGACTCCTCAGGACGGACCCACACAGCCTGCAGGCACCACACGCTTAATGAACATTAAGGAACGCATCAGGGATCACAGCTTCTAAGACATATAGTTCTCAATGACTAACTTTAAAAGAATTTAAACATCATTCCCTGTGGCCTTCATTTGAGATTTCTACAAATAATTTCATTGTGCTTAAAAAAAAATGTGTATATATATGTGTGTATATATACACACACACACATATGTATGTATTTATTCATTTAAATGTTCATACAGGTTAGAAAAAAATGTTTACTAGGTGCTTCTTACCTGACTGAAAATGAGTGAGATCCCCCCGGATACCACCCTAAAATGCAGATAAAAGTTATTAAATATATGTAATTTTTTGGCAGAAGTAAAATTACACAGTTGTAACAATGACGTACTTTGCAAAGTGTCTATTGGCTCCATTTTCCCCATGTTTTCCTATTTTTATACAATCTCTCAAAGGAATCTGGAAAAAATTGAGAGAATTATAAAAATAAGCCAAGGTAAAATATATACAAAAAATAGGACCGTTCCTGTTCACATTTAAAATGCATTTACCTTAATGATGGGCTGGGATATTGCATCCGGTTCAAAAATAACTGATTTTGAACATATTTTTAAGGAGCCTCTGATTTTCCTAGAGATGAAAGTACAAAAGGTTATTATTAATGAACGTAACAAAAGTCACAGAAGAATCATAATACATTTTAACTAGAATGTAGATGACTAAAGTATCAACTAATAAAAGATCGACAAAGAGAAGGGTATGAAAGGTTGGAAAATATAGCAAAAATATTTTCCTCATCTCCCCCTCCCTGGAGGTTAAAGAATCTGCATGTGTTGTAATATGGTCTCACTGGTTGAGAACTGTCGCATGTATTTTATTCGCATTACTTCATCTGGTCCTCACAACTACTGTGAAAGGGAAACAGTTTTCTGATCCTTAAGAAACGCTGATTCCATCCTGTCTGTGGTAAATTCTTTTGACTTTTCATTTCCTATATCTTAAAGAACTATTCAGAAAGCAATACTAAGCATCTAACGTTGATTAGGTAGGAGATTTTTTGTTTTCTTATTTATAATCATGCAAGAATGAGAAGAGTTTGAATTTAGAACCCAGAACGCTTTTACCGGTGATTCTGGGGTACATAGGAATTCCGGGGAAAACTGGTTCTATGATAATAAGCAATTTTAAAGACTATTTGCCTACTACTATAATATCAAATAAATCAGTTATCGGCTTCGCCATTCTCCTCCTTTCTTGGGACATTTATAAGGCTCCAATGAGTTTTGGGAAAAAGCCTGCCTGAGCATGTTAGAGGCCCATGTGCCTCACTTGCCCGAAGCCAATAAAAATCTACACACTTCATTGTCTTTTACTGACTAGATGACTTTTATCAATTGATCAAACCAAGGCAATAACTTATTATGTAATCAAAACACAGGTTAAGAAATGCTGGAACATCATCTTATAAAAAAATCACCTAAGATTAGTTTCCAAGAGTACATTTTATCTACAAGTGAAGCTCTAAGGATCTTACGTTTTTTAAAATCACTTGTATGACATCTGGACTTTTTCTCCAGTCATTCCTCAGTGTCCTAGTGAACGCTTTTTTTTTTTTTTTTTTTTTTTTTTTCGGTACGCGGGCCTCTCACTGTCGTGGCCTCTCCCGTTGTGGAGCACAGGCTCTGGATGCACAGGCTCCGCGGCATGTGGGATCTTCCTGGACTGGGGCACGAACCCTTGTCCCCTGCATCAGCAGGCGGACTCTCAACCACTGCACCACCAGGGAAGCCCGTGAACACTTCTTACTCCGGCCGTTCCAGGGTCTCTTAACTGAAACAATTATGTTACTTATACTCTAGAAAGATCGACCTGCTCTTCCTGCTTCTGTACCCCCCCACCCCCCCACCCCGGCCGAGTCAGTTCTTCTTCTATCAAAGAAATCTCACATTCTTCCTGGCTTACAAATACGCCAATGGTGTTCTAACCCACGGGATAAAGTCCCATCACAATCTTGAGGAAGGCCTACCTCTGTGTACGTAGATAATATGTACCCAGTGCACAAGAAGGCTCGTCATGCTGAAGGTCATGATTTAGCCTGCAATTCTTCTTCCTCAAAAGCTCTTTTAAATTTTGATTTTATATCATTTCTTTCCATGCTGTTATCTGCATTTACTTTCCTAACACCCTAAATCACCTAATAATAACTTAAGTACTTCTATGGCAATTGCTAAACAAATACAAATAGAATAGAAAATTCCCAAGTATCAATCACCTAGTTTCTGCAGTTGTTAACATGCAGTCATTCTTGTTTTGTGTACAACACCTCAGAACCCTGCTGGATTTTAGATAAATTCCCAGACATCCTATACTTCATTTATATATACTTTAACATGAATCTCTGAAGATAAACTATTTCAATAAATGACCTATCATTGTCACACCTAAAAAAATTAATAATTCCTTAATGTCATCAAGGATACAGCCAGGATTCAAATTTTTCTATTTCATAAGTGTGTTCTTATAGTTGGTTTGTTCAAATTGGAACACAAAAGTCCATATTACATTTAGTTGACAGGTCTCTCAATATCTCTTAATCTAAGGCAACTTTCATTTTCCCGCATTACGAACTTTGCTAAACACATCTCTGTGGTTTTCCTCTATCCCATTTCCTTTATATAATTGGTAAGATTAAAAGACTTGACCAGCTGGGGTTTGATTTTCTGGTAAGGGTTCGTCAGAGGCAGTGCACATGTACTTCCCTCGAATCAAGAGGCCACAGTGGGTTCAGGTAATGCCTATCTTGATACGTGCATTAAAAAATTTCTCAGCAGCTTTTCATCTGCTGGTTTAGCAGCCACTGAAGATTCTGTCTACATCACAGGTTGGCAAACTTCTTCTATAAAGAGCCAGATAGTAAATATTTTCGACTTTGCAGGCCATTTGGTCTCTGTCACTATTCAGTTCTACTTCCGTGTTGCAGGAAAGCAACCACACACAATATGTAAACAAGTGGGTGTTCCAATAAAACTTTATTTACAAAAACAAGTAGCAGGCCAGATCTGACCATAGTTTGTCGACCCCTGATATAGATCCATTATTCACTAGGGGTTGACATTTTTAACATTCCCTCTGTTTATTATCTAGAATTCATCAACAAAGAGCAGCTTTAATTATCTGTGATTTGGTTACCCTAAAGTACAATTTGTACAAGGAAAGCAGGAAAAATGCTCGATTCTTTACGTTTATCAAGTTTTAGAAAAATGAGTTGGTGTCCTAGTACCTTCAAAGGTAACTGATATACATATATATACACACACACACACACATGAAATAATATATTTATATTATATATATGTCATTATGAACTCATGGATTTGAGCCCTTCTGATACATTTCAATCCACTACCCTCATTATTCTTTTTTGGTGTTCAATCTGTCCCATTTTTTTGCCCAGCTCTTCAGGGTGGCCTTGTGCCCTTTTAATTCACATGCAGTCATTTCTGATACCTTCCTTTCTTGCCAGTCTGACAAGATGGTCCAGGCTCACCTCCCACATTTCCTCCCCTGACTTAGACTCAGACAAGTCTCCAAAGAGCCCTCGTTTCTTTCAGTGCAGAGTAGCATTCAGAGTAGCTCACTGCTACCGAGTTCTAACTAGGCCTTTTCAGAGATGCGAAAATCTTCCTTACCTTTCATTCTGACTGCCCTTGTGCCGAATATGATTAGCTGTATGCTGTTCAAAGTAGTACTCCTCCAAGTTAAGCAGCAGCAAGGAAAATCTAAATTTGGGGAAAAAAACAAAACTGCATGTTTATTTTTTTTAAGTATGAGAAAGCAAAATATTTCAAGCATGTGTTCCCAAAGTGCTTTTCCATCCACTACATCAACAAACACTTACTAAGTGTATATTATATGCCAGGCACTCTTCTCTATCAAGACAGACCTGCCCAGCTATGCCAAAAATAAAATAAATTGTTTACCAGGTGGATTTATTATTCCTTTACAGAAACTCCAAATTTCATGAAATAAAACCATGTGTAAAACAGATAGCTGGTGGGAACCTGCTGTGATGACCTAGATGGGTGGGATGGGGGTGGGTGGGAAGGGGCTGTATGTATACATATGGCTGATTCACTTCACTGTACAGCAGAAACTAACACACCATTGTAAAGCGATTATACTCCAATAAAACAACAACAACAACAAAACTGTTGCCTGAACAGAGCTCGGAGCTTTCCCACCTACAGAGTGTTCATCCTTTGTTCCCCAGGACTACACACGAGGCTTCCCCACCCCCTCTTCCCCACCACACACCATTCTCCACTGTCATGGCTCGTGGGTGGGTGAGTTTCTCTTGCTACTTCCACAAGACCAGTGCCTCTGAGAGGCAGATCTTTAGATATTCCTGTTATAACCAATCTAAGGCTTTGTACGCAACAGGTATTTAATAGATAAAACGAGTAAGCTGAACCAAATGGGAATCAGTTCTTTTTAAAGCTTTAAGTGCTTTAAACTTTTAAAAACAAAATAAAGTAACAGAAAAAGTATTAATTTAGTTGCATGGCCACAGAAACAAATATATGGCAAAGAACTGAAAACAACTATTTTGTTTGTTTTGTGGTAAGGACCAGGAAACATCAACGGCACCCAGAGTCACGGGGAGTCGTTTTCATGAAAAGTGTGGTACTTGAGATGCGTCTTGAAGTTCCGGTGTATTACAGGAAGACATCTAGATTAAATACGGCAGAATAAACGTGTTTATTTCTGCTCCCTCTGGAAAAACACTACAATGTGAACAAAAATATTTTTTAAATAGTAACCCCACACACAAAAAATAGTAAAACCCACAGACTAAAGGAAATTGGAGAGACATAAAAGCAGATGAGAGATACCTACAAATTTGTGAGACATGCAAAGCAGATGGGAGGAATGAGCAGTGATCAGAAGCCGGAAAAGCAGATGCCTCCAGAAAAGGTACCAACCAGGAGGAAACCACAAGTTCCACAGCTGCAGGTATCAGGTACCAAGAAGGCAGGGATGGAGCCTGGGGGGATGGTTGAAAGTCCAAACGAGGCCAGCAGCCACGATTCCTCCCCTGATGGTTCTCCCTACACATGGTTTTTCAACACCAAAATTAAACAAGAGACTCCAAACTAGGCACCAAGCACAGTGGAGAGCAGCGCTACTGCATGAAAAGACAGTGATTAAACAGAAAGCAGGAAGACATATAACACTCCAAGCAGCAGACTGTGGGTTATTTTTGGAAAAAAACCTAAATAGCCCTAGAGAAAAGACCTATGGTTACTAACATTTCAAAGAACCGTCTACAACACCATCCCACAGTGAAGCCCAACAGAAAAGACCTACCCACAGTGACACAGAATTACATGCTTCACCCTTAAATATGAATGCACACCCCAAGATCACCAGCCTCTAATGTGAAAGAACTAGACCAAACAAGCAGAAGAACACAGCCTGAAGGACTAGAGACAATGAACAGAAGAAAAGGTCAAAAGACTATAATTAAGATCCATACAAAGAAGAAATTATATCCATGAAACAAGATACTGCTTGCTTGAAAACAAACTGAACAGAAAAATAACTCATAAATTAAAAATGATGACAGCGGGAACTAGCTTTACCATCAAAACAGGCAATTTTTCCTGGCCTGTTCTACGTGTTAAAATCCATGAACAAGAATTCATCACAGGCTAAACTGCCGGAGCTCAGTGTAAAATGCTCACTATTAACACTTACTCCGAATTTCGGTGCAACCACAAATGTTCAGATTGGTAGGAGCGTCCTCTGATGCCCGAGATAATTTCCAAGAAGGTATAAATGAGAGAGATACTAAGTACCTTGGCCCTTACTTTTAGCTTGTATTAATAAGTTGAAACCTTTTGCTTGGGCTGGAGCTATGCAACCATCTCTCCTCCTTCCTCCTCTCCCCACTCCTCCTCTTAGAGAGAGGGTAAAATAACTCTTCGTCAATAAGACAATGGCATAATTTTGTTGCTATAAAAATAGCCTTCATACTGGTGGCACAGTAGTTGAGAGTCTGCCTGCCGATGCAGGGGACACGGGTTTGTGCCCCGGTCCGGAAGATCCCACATGCCGTGGAGCAGCTGGGCCCGGGAGCCATGGCCACTGAGCCTGTGCATCCAGAGCCTGTGCTCCGCAACGGGAGAGGCCACAACAGTCAAAGGCCCACATACAGCAAAAAAAAAAAAAAAAAAAAAAAAATAGCCTTCATAGACAACCAGCTCTTCCATATAATTTTTAAGATATAATCCTATCTTTAATACTGTTAAAATGTCCATACCAGCCAAAGCCATCTACAGATCCAATGTAATCCCTACCAAAATCTCAATGGCATATACTGCAGAAATAGAAAAAAAAAAATCCTAAAATTCATACAGAATCAGAAAGTCAAAACAATCAAGAATGAAAAACAAAGCTGGAAGCCTCACAGTTCCTATATCAAAAGATATTACAAAGCTACAGTATTAAAACAGTGTGGTACTGGCATAAAGACAGACATATAGACCAAAGGAACAGAATGGAGAGCTCAGAACTAAACTCTCATAACTCTGGATCTTTTTGACAAGAGATTCAAAGCCACACAATGGGGAAAGGACAGTCTCTGCAACAAATGATGTTAGGAAATCTGGATATTCACATGCAAAAGAATGATGTTGAACCCTTCATACTATATATAAAAATTAACTCACAATGGACTAAAGACCTACTTTTAAGACCGGAAACTATAAAACTCCCAGAAGAAAACATAAGGTGAAAGCTTCATGACACTGGATTTGGCAATGATTTCTTAGATATGACACCAAAAGCACAGGCAACAAAAGCAAAAATAGATAAATGGGACTACATCAGATTTAAAAACTTCTATGCAGCAAAGAAAACAGTCAACAAACTGAGAAGACAGCCTATAAAACTGAAGAAAATATTTGCAAACCATATCTGATAAGGAGTTAATATCTAGAATATATAAAGGACTCCTACAACTACTCAGCAACAACAAAAATTAACCCAATTAAAAAATGGGCAAAGGACTTGAATAGGCACTTCTTCAGAGAAGATATGCACATGGCCAGAAAGTGTATGAAAACGACACTGAACATCACCAATCATCAGGAAAATGCAAATCAAAACCTCATACACTATTAAAAAATAACAAACATTGGCGAGGATGTGAAGAAATTGCAGGTGGAATTGTAAAATGATGCAGCTGCTATGGAAAACAGTATAGAGGTGCCTCAAAAAATTAAGAATAGAACCACCATATTCAGGTTCCCTCCAGTAGGCAGATGACCTCTATCCTCTGTCATAGCCTCACGGATTCACGTATCTCTCATTACCTGCTTCTTTAGCTATTCTTTTTAGCCCTTTCAAGTCATCTAATTGCTCCAGCAACCAGGACATTTTTATTGACTCTTGTTCATTAAAAGGCTTGGCTTCCAATGCTCCATGCCTAGAGCCAGATTCAAAACTACAATGAGGTATCACCTCACACCAGTCAGAGTGGCCATCATCAAAAAGTCCACAAACAATAAATACTGGAAATATATACAGAACTCATACAATGCATTAGAAAAAAATAATCCAATTTAAAAATGGGCAGAGGAGCTGAATAGACATTTTTCCAAGACATACAGATGGCTGACAGACACATGAAAAGATGCTCAACATCACTCATCATCAGAGAAATGCAAACCAAAACTACAATGAGATGTCACCTCACACCTGCCAGAATAGCTGTTACCAAAGGGACAACAAACAACAAGTGTTGGCAAGGATGTGGAGAAAAGGGAACCCTCCTACACTGTTGGTGAGGATGTAAACTGGTAGAGCCACTATGGAAAACAGTATGGAGGTTCCCTAAAAAAACTAAAAATAGAACTACCATATGATCCAGCAATCCCACTCCTGGGCATATATCTGGAGAAAATCATAATTTGTTGTTTTTAAAAAAATAAATAAATTTTTTTAAAAAAATAAATAAATAAATTTATTTATTTATTTTTGGCTGCATTGGGTCTTTGTTGTTGCACACGGGCTTTCTCTAGTCGCGGCGAGTGGGGGTTACTCTTCGTTGCGGCACACAGGCTTATTGCGGTGGCTTCTCTTGCTGCAGAGCACGGGCTCTAGGCTCGCGGGCTCCAGTAGTTGTGGCTCGTGGGCTCTAGAGCACAGGCTCAGTAGTTGTGGCGCACGGGCTTACTTGCTCCACGGCATGTGGGATCTTCCCGGACCAGGCATCGAACCTGTGTCCCCTGCATTGGCAGGTGGATTCTTAACTGCTGCACCATTAGGGAAGTCCTGAAAACCATAATTTGAAAAGATACATACAACCCCAATGTTCACTGCAGCACTATTTACAATAGCCAAGACATGGAAGCAATCTAAATGTCCATCAACAGAGGAATAGATAAAGATAATGAGGTACATATATACAATGGAATGTTACTCGGCCATAAAAAAGAATGAAATAATGTCATTTGCAGCAACATGGATGGACCCAGAGATCGTACTCAGTGAAGTAAGACAGAGAAAGACATATATCACTCATATGTGGAATCTAATTTTTAAAAATGATTTAAATGAACTTATTTACAAAACATAAACAGACTCACAGATTTTGAAAACAACCTTATGGTTACCAAAGGGGAAAGGTTGGGGGGAGAGATAAATCAGGAGCTTGGGATTAACATATACACACTACTATACAGAAAACAGATAACCAACAAGGAACTACTATACA